CACAGCAAGAGAGGGAACACAAGCAGGGGGAGTGGGAGAGGGAGAAGCAGGCTTCCTGCCAAGCAGGGAGCCCGATGCGGGGCTCGATCCCGGGACGCTGGGATCATGACCTGGAGCTGCCTTTATTTTTCAAAGATATTTTTGCTGGGAGTAGAAATCTAGGTTGACTTTTTCTTTTTTCTTTCAGCACTTTAAATATGTTATTCCATTTTCTTTTGGTATTCATCATTTCTGACGAAAAGTCCTATTATCATTCCCCTGTGTGTAATATGTTTCCCCCCCCCCTTAACATTTTCTTTCTTTTTCGGCAATTTTACTGTGATGTGCCTGGCTGTGGTTTTCTTGTATTTATCTTCTTTGGGATTTTCTGAGCTCCCTGGTTCAGTGGATTTGCTATTTTTGATCAATTCTGGAAAATTTCAGTCATTATTTATTCAAATAATTTTTCTGTCCCATTCTCTTTTCCTCTCCTCTGAAATTCCTATTCCATATATGTTAGACTGCTTGATGCTATTCCACAGGTATTGAGCCTCTCCACTTTTTTCCAGTCTAGATTTCTGTCTTACTGACTTTATTGTCTTCAAGTTCACAGATTTTTTTTCTTTTGTAGTATCCAGTCTGCTCTTAATTCTGTTCAATAATTTTAAAAATTTCAAATATTGTATTTTTCGATTTTAGGATATCTTTTGTTCTTTTTAAAGAGTTTCCTTCTTGGGCTCCTGGGTGGCTCAGTTGGTTAAGCATCTGCCTTTGGCTCAGGTCATGATCCCAGGGTCCTGGGATCGGGTCCTGCATTGGGCTCCCTGCTCAGCAGGGGGTCTGCGTCTTCCTCTACCCTTACCCACTGCTTGTGATACCTCATTCTCTCTCAAATAAATAAAATCTTTTTAAAAAAAGTTTCCTTCTTGGGGCACCTGGGTGGCTCAGTCATTGGGCATCTGCCTTCAGTTCAGGTCATGATCCCAGGGTCCTGGGATCAAGCCCAACATCGGGCTCCCTGCTCCGTGGGAAGCCTGCTTCCCCCTCTCCAACTCCCCCTGCTTGTATTCCCTCTCCTGCTGTGTCTCTGTCAAATAAATAAATAAAATCTTTTTTAAAAAACGTTTTCTTCTTTCTCTTGAAATCCCCCATCTCTTCACTCAATATGTCTACCTTTTCTTGTAGCTTCATTAACATATTTATACTTTTTCAAGAAAAATAATATTGAACCTGCCCCTGTGTTCTTAGGATAAGTGTCTTGTTAAGTGATGACAAAAGAAAAATTTAGATTTTATATCCAAAGCTTTGTTAATAAGCTGTTATATATCTGTATATCTTTTTTGGTGAGGTGTCTGTTCAGATCTTTTGCCCAACTTTTAATTGGGTTGTTTATTTTTATTACTGAGTTTAAGAGTTTTTTGTATATTTTGGATATTAGTTCTTTATCAGATATATGTATTGGAAATATTTTCTCCCATTCTGTGGCTTGTCTTTTCGTTCTCTTACCAGTGTCTTGCAGAGCCGAAGTTTTTAATTTTAATGAAGTCCAACTTATCAATTTTTTTCTTCCATGGGTCATACTGTTGCTGTTGTATTAAAAAACTTATTCCCAAGCCCAAGGTCACCTAGATTTTCTTCTATGTTATCTTCTAGAAGTTTTATAGTTTTGTATCTTCTTTTAGGTTTATGATCCATTTTAAGTTAACTTTTATGAAGGATGTAAGACCAGTGTCTAGATTCATTCATTCATTTATTCATTCATTTTCTTATTTATTTACTTATTTACTTATCTGTTTATTTATTTCATGTGATGTCCAGTTGTTCTAGCACCATTTGTTGAAAAAACTATTCTTTCTCCATTGAATTGCCTTTACTCCTTTGTCAAAGATCAGTTAACTATACTTATGGGGTCTATTTCTGGGCTCTCTGTTCTATTTGTCTTTTTTTTTCAAGATTTATTTATTTATTAGAGAGAGAGAGAGAAAGCAGGGGGAGGGGAGGCAAAGGGACAGGGAGAGAGAGAATCTCAAGCAGATTTCCCACTGAGTGTGCGGCCAGACATGGGGCTTAATCTCATGACCTGAGATCATGACCTGAGCCAAAATCAAGAGTCAGACACTTAACTGATTGAGCTACCCTGGCGCCCCCTCTATTTGTCTACTCTAAAAATAGATCTGTTTATCTATTCCTTAAAGCAATAACACTGTCTTGATTATTGTAGCTTTATATTAAGTCTCAAAGGCAGATAGTGTCAAGTCTACAACTTTATTCTTCTTCAGTATTGTGTTGGCTATTCTTGGTCTTTCACCTTTCCATAGAAACTTTAGAATCAGTTTGTTGGCATCCACAAAAGAATTTGCTGGCATTTTGAGGTGGATTGCATTGAGTCTCTAGATTGATCTGGGAAGAAAGAACTGACGTGTTGATAATACTGAGTTTTCTATTCATGAACATGGAATATCTCTCCACTTGTTTAGATCTTCTTTGATTTCTTTCATCATAGTTTATAGTTTTCCTCACATAGACCTTTTACATATTTTGTTATATTCCTGAGTAATTAATTTTTTTTGCTGCTTATTAAATGGTATTTTATTTTATTTTATTTTTTTAAGATTTTATTTATTTAATTGACAGAGAGAGAGACAGTGAGAGAGGGAACACAAGCAGGGGGAGTGGGAGAGGGAGAAGCAGGCTTCCCGCGGAGCAGGGAGCCTGATGCGGGGCTCGATCCCAGGACCCTGGGATCATGACCTGAGCCGAAGGCAGTCGCTTAACCAACTGAGCCACCCAGGTGCCCCTTAAATGGTATTTTAATTTCAAGTTCCAGTGTCCAGATAGGTAGGAAAGCAGTTGACTTTTTTTTTTTTAAGATTTTTATTTGTTTATTTGACAGAGAGAGACACAGTGAGAGAAGGAACACAAGCAGGTGGAGTGGGGGAGGGAGAAGTAGGCCTCGACCCTGGGATCATGACCTGAGGCAAAGGCAGACACTTAATTGAGCCACCCAGGCACCCCAACAGTTGACTTTTTTAAGACTTTATTTTTAAGTAATCTCTACACCCAATGTGGGGCTCAAACTCACAACCCTGAGATCAAGAGTCAGATGCTCTACTGACTGAGCCAGCCAGATGCCCCTGACTTTTATATATTAACCTTGTATTCTGCAGTCTTGCTACAAGGTCATGTTACATTCTTGTAAACAATGTTGAGTTTTGTTCTAGTATGTAGTTAAGTTCTGTAGATCATCTTGACATTGTGGCAGTTAAGTTTTACATTTATTGGGGCAGGAGTATTTCAGTTTTGTCCTTAGTCTTAGAGCTGATCTCTTAGTCCTGGGATGTAATTTTTATTACTAAGATATGGCCTTTAAGATGTTTCAGTGAAAATTCCCAGATGTTTACCAAGCTCCTCCACTTGGCAAGACCTGAACTCTAAACTCTATTTCTACTACAGTGGGAAGAAACTAAATTTCTGCTTAACTTTTTCAGCTTTCCAACTTTTTTTTTCCCTCAGCCACCTTGGAGTATTTCCTGAGTCTGTGCAATTCAGGGGCCAGGCAAAGACTTAAAGGGATTTATATGTGAATTTTGGAGGCTGCCCCCTTATAACTTCCCTCTCTGGGATTTTTTCCTTTTAATTCCCAGCTTCTCTAGCAGTCTCAGATTTCATTCTCCAGTTCTACAGACATGAAGACTGTGGGTTTCTTTTTGAGTTCTCTCTGTCCCATGGTTTGCAGGCTGGGGATTGTCCCCAGCCACATCAACATGGATCTGTCCTGGTGTGGTTTCCTTCCAGTTTCTACCAGCTTTTGATAGCTTCCTAGTGCTTTCAAGGAGTTGTTTTTTAAATATTTTGTTCAGAGTGTGTTATCATTGTTGGCAGGAGGGTTAGTCAAATGCCTTACTCCACCATCACCAGAAGCTAGAAGGAGCAGGCTAAGGAATTTGGACTTTATTCTGCAGGCTGGAAGATTTTAAATCAGGGAGTAGTTTGATAAGTTCTTGGTTTGGGGAGATTAGCAAAGGGGTGGTTTATAGGATGAGTTGGTGAGGGGGAAGCCAGGAGACAAAGGAGGCAGTTAGAAGACTTACAGTAGGGACACCTGGGTGGCTCAGTCGTTAAGTGTCCGCCTTCAGCTCGGGTCATGATCCCAGGGTCCTGGGATCGAGCACCCTCTGGGGCTCCCTGCTCAGTGGGGAGTACGCTTCTCCCTCTCCCACTCCCCCCCCTCTCGTGCTCTCTCTATCCAAGAGGTCCAAGGCCTCTACTGGGGGAGAGAGGCAGTTGAAATGGAAAAGGTTCGGGCACCTGGGTGGCTCAGTTGGTTAGGTGACTGCCTTCGGCTCAGGTCATGATCCTGGAGTTCCGGCATTGAGTCCTGCATCGGGCTCCCTGCTCAGCGGGGAGTCTGCTTCTCCCTCTGACCCTCCCCCCTCTCATGCTCTCTCTCTCTCATTCTCTCTCTCAAATAAATAAATAAAACCTTAAAAAAAAAAAGAAATGGAAAAGGTTGGTCACATAGGAGAGATTAAAAAAAGAAAGATCTAGTTTCTGTGAGAGGATGTGAGACTTTTTCACAGGAAAGCATTCCTAAGTGACCACCATTCCATTCCAGAAGGTCTGGTCTGATTAAAGTTCATTTCAAAGTATATCTCTGTTAAGGCCTGGAGAGTTTACTAACCTAGTATTAGTCTTGGTAAAATGACCTAACTGAATCCTGAGTCACTCCTGGTCTGCTGGTCTCCCTGGCTCACGTGAAGGCTACAGATAGTCACCCAGGATCTACTTTGACTTTGAGCCTGGGTTATTTGTGGAAGCATCCTGTTTGCTTCCAGCCCCAACGTCTGGAATGGAACTGGAAACAAGCTGTGGAAGGACAAGGAGAAGGGGTTATAAATGCAGGATACACTGCCTGGACATGCCTCAGCATCCACTGTCTGAGCTTCTTGTTCTTGATGTTGGGCAGCCAGCCATTTATCCTTGACCTTTTCTACTAGCTTTGTTGCTTTCTCTTTCAACAGGTCAAATGGATGATGTACTGGATTATATTTGCACTTTTCACCACAGCAGAGACATTCACTGACATTTTCCTTTGTTGGTAAGTACTCCAGGACTTGGGACTTTTCTTTTTTTTTTTTTTTAAGATTTATTTATTTATTTTGAGAGAGTGAGAATGAGAGAGAGAGAGAGAGCACATGAGAGGGGGGAGGGTTAGAGGGAGAAGCAGGCTCCTCGCTGAGCAGGGAGCCTGACGCGGGACTCGATCCCGGGACTCCAGGATCATGACCTGAGCCGAAGGCAGTTGCTTAACCAACTGAGCCACCCAGGTGCCCCAGGACTTGGGACTTTTCAAGGGAAGATGTTGCCTAGTATCATTGGAGAAGTGGGAAGGGCCCAGAAGCAGTCTCAACCTTACTTCAGAGCAGAGAAGCAAGTGCAGGGATGTTAACTGGGATAGTTTTAATAAATTAATTTATAAAGTTGCTCTTCAAGTAAATATTTGTTCAATGACTTTATAAGAGCAGGTATTGTTCTTATAATGATATAATCATGGACAAAATAAATACAGTTCCTCAATTAATATAGTTGGCAAGGAAGTATTCATATATCAAAAAAAAAAAAAAGGAAACAGTACACACGTTTCCCTTTAATAAAACTAGGTTTCTCTCAAACACCATTCACTCTCACCGTAACTCCTATTCACAATTGTGTATACTTTTAACATATTTATGTGTATATATACATGCATACATATACACATATTTTTTCTTTTTTTAAACAATGGTATTAGAGTATACTTAACAGTTCTCATTTTGTTTATTAGATTTATTTTTAAAATACTTTCATGTAAGCATAAGTAGATCTACCTATTTTTTTACATGGCCACATGGAATTTCATGGTATAGATGGACCATAATTTATTTAATCAATCCCCTTTTGATGGAAAGTTTTTTTCCTTATAAACAATGCCACTGTTATAGCAATGGAGCAAGTAAAAATTATAAGCTATGTCCATGTATTGATATATTGCATCTTTTAAGGTGAAAGAGGCTGTGAATAATATATAGCATCTTGTTTCTATTCAAAAGGCCTGAGTTTCTCTGTACACATGTGAATGTATACTAAAAGTAGTTTGGAAATACCCATCCGTTAACCAGAGTTATTTCTGCAAGTTGGAATCATGGGGTTGGTTTTGTATTTGCTGTGTTGTATGAATGTTTTACTGTGATCAGTTATCATCAGAGAGAATAATAAAAATATTTCCATTTAGGAGGAGGCCCTTACCCAGAGAGGATCAGTATGAACTTACCCTCCAGAATATTATAGGCCAGAGATGACACCTGAATACCACTTCTGTGAATCCGGTTTTGGATCAGTGGTTTTAATGCCCTTAATATGTAGTTTTCCCCCCAAAGGAGGCTGGCTTTCATCTCCACTGGGAGAAATAGATGTCTCAGCTATTGTGGCCTCAAGCTATAGGGAAGAAATGTGGTTCACCTAATTTAATATGTTGGTGCCATGCGCCCAGATAAACAACAGACTCAGGATGGGGCTGAGTCTCCAGGAGTCTCCAGGAGTGGAGAAGGAACTCTGCTGAGCCATCCTTTGTCTTCCCCAGGCCGCAGGGGCTGGTACTAGGAGTCAGACCCCATATTGTGCAGAGCTGTGTTGGGGAGGTTCCTGCTCCCCACGTTGATGAGGGAAACAGGCCAGGCCCAGTAAGGACTATGTCGTCAGTTAAACATCATGACCAGTCCTCGTGTCCTCCAGTCTTCCGTCTGAACAGTGTCCTGTGTGTGGCGCTGGGTGGCCTCTTGCTGTGCTCCCATCCCTCCTCGTGAATATCGTGGGGGAATAGTGTTAGTCTTACGAGCTCCTTCTCAGGGATATCGGCATTTCTGTCTCACTGCTTTTGGCTAAGTGGAAATCTGGTCTAATGATGGACGTGCCCTCCCTGGTAGGGGGAGTATGTTTTTACTCATGGCCGTGGAACTTCCGAGTTTCATACTTAATAAATGCTTATCAGCTATTTCTGGAGTTGATTTGATTTTGATTTTGATTTTGGGGAAGTGTATGAGCTTTCCATTGCTGCCATAACAAGTTGTCACAAATTTAGGAGCTTTAAAACAACAGAAATGTATTATTTTAGTTTCCATGAGTCAGAAGTCCTGGTAGAATCAACTGAGTCCTCTGCTCAGGGAACCATGAGGCCAAAATCGGGGTGTCAGCCAGCCTGGCTTCTTATCTGGAGACTCTGGGGGAGATGCCACTTCAGGCTCATTTGGATAACAGGCAGAATTCAATTCCTTGTGGCTGTAAGACTGAGGTCCCCATTTCCTTGACATGTGCCTCCCACTTCAGCTTCAAGCCAACAATGGCATGTCAGATCCTTCTCATGCTTCAGATCTCTGCCTTCTGCTACCAGCCAGAGAAAGAACTCTGCTTCTGCTTTTAAGGGATCATGTTATTAGATTAGGCCTGCTCCCAATAATCCAATATAATTTCCCTATTTTAAAGTCAGCTGATTAATAATCTCAATTACATCTTCAAAATCCCCTTTGCCATGTGAAGGGAACATACTTGTGGGAGTAACATCAGGATGTGAAGGTCATGGGACCAAAATTCTGCCCACCAGCAGAGGGCCTCTGATACCTGGTGTTTGGGTGCAGTCCCCCTCTTCCTGATCCACGTGGAGGCCTCATCTGGCCCATCTTAGTGGGTGCTGTCCAGGGGGTTAATGTATGGGAAGTGAGGGTCTTGTCCATCTTCTGCAAGGAAGAGGTTGGGAACCTTCCCTGCCTGGTTTAGCCCACAGTCTGGTCATGCCCTCAGCCTGCTTTCTCTTTCCCCGCAAACCTGCAGGTATTACAGGTCAAAGTTGTCTTTGGGCAGAGTCTTCCCACTCCTTCCTCCTTCTTGCTCTGGGAATGGCACAGAACAGGCTGACCAGACAGACAGAGCCCTATTCCTCTCCTTCCAGGGACACGGAGACCAGCTCGGCGGCTCTGCACTCTCTTTATGAGAGCGAGAGAGAGATTGAAAAATTGAGACAGAGACAGAGAGAGAGACTGAAGCTTCTGTTATTCCTGGAAGCACCTTCTGGCTTCCTGGGAAGCATCTTTAACTTGGGCTCACTTCCAGGATTGGAGATTGCCCCTCCCCTTTCTATTCCCTCCCTCCTCACTCCTCGCTCCCCCCCCACTGCCCTCTTTCCCGCACTCCCCCGGGGCAGTTCTCTCTTCATAGTTAACTTTTTAAAAACTTTCTATTGAACATAAACAGCATTCCTATATGGTCACAGGAGACAGGATGGTGGCTTGTCTACAATATCCATAGGCAATTTCACTTAGTTTTTTAATATTTACAAAACACTATATCACGTGGCAAAATGAAATTGAAACAATACACTAAAAAGTAAGGCCCTCCTCCCCCAGGCCTTCATTCTCTCTCCTCTCCCCAGGGATATGACTGTTAAAAGTTACTTGTGTTTTCTCCCAGAAATTTTCTGCACACATTAATTGCATGTGTTTTGACAATTTCATCACGTGTCCAAACCTCTTAGGAAACAGTTACCCCCTAGGGAGTGTGAAGGCATAACATCAGAAGGGTGGGAGCCTGCACCTCCCCCGTGCACCGTGGGGCTGTGCACCTGTACCTGGGGACTGATACATCCTAGAGGTCAGGACAGTTTCAAGGGCTTATCATTAAGGAATGAGCAGAGTTCTTCTCCACTTCTTGGGTGAAGGCTGGGGTGGCGGTAGGTCAGGTGGAAGGTGCCTTGGTAGGTGGTGATAGCATTGGTAGAGCCAAGCAAGCCTAAGGCCTCTGGGAAGTACAGGGTCTGAGTGGCTCAACTGGGAGACCCTTATGATACCTGACAAGGGCCTGGTCCTGGGGTGATGATTCCAGGGACAGTTTGAGATCATCCCCCCAAGTATACTGGTGTGTGTGTGTGTGTGTGTGTGTGTGTGTGTGTGTGTGTGTGTGTGGTGGGGGAAGTGTGGTGTGGGAAAGGGATTATATTACCAGGTGTGTTTGCGGGGGGTGCTAAAGGAGTCCTGTATACCCACATGATTGTATATCTTAGGTGTCTGAAGTCTACTACTGATAATGTTTTTGCTTTTGGAAAAGGAACTAAAGGTCTGGGATGGGAAGAAGACTCTTTGTTGTATACTCTTTTGGATATTTGAATTTTTAAAATGTTATGCAGGTATTACCTATTAAAAAACATCTTTTACATAAGCAATAAAAGTGGTGCCGTGTGATAGATCCCTTGGGATTATGTGTGTATCTTATACTGATGCCTGAGCTTGCTAGATTCATTTGCTTTCCCCCTGGGATTGGTAAATAGTTATTTTCAAGACAAAATTTCCTTCACTATTAATCACTGGAGGGTTCCAAGGTAGGAGAATCATGCCTCTGTTCCTTCAGCCTCTTCTCTGGGGTGACTGTGAAAATTAAACAGTCTTGACATGACAGTGTCCTGGAGTTGCTGAGGGAATATTTTTTTTCCTTTAAATTTTTTTATTGTTATGTTAATCACCATACATTACATCATTAGTTTTTGATGTAGTGTTCCATGATTCATTGTTTGTGCATAACACCCAGTGCTCCACGCAGAACGTGCCCTCTTTAATACCCATCACCAGGCTAACCCATCCCCCCACGCCCCTCCCCTCTAGAACCCTCAGTTTGTTTCTCAGAGTCCATCGTCTCTCATGGTTCGTCTCCCCCTCCGATTTACCCCCCTTCATTCTTCCCCTCCTGCTATCTTCTTTTTTTTTTTTTCTTAACATATATTGCATTATTTGTTTCAGAAGTACTGATCTGTGATTCAACAGTCTTGCACAATTCACAGCGCTCACCATAGCACATACCCTCCCCACTGTCTATCACCCAGCCACCCCATCCCTCCCACCCCACCCCCACTCCAGCAACCCGCTGAGGGAATATTCAGGAAGAGCCTGCCAGAGGCAGAAGGCAGCCCACCGGGACCTCGATGAGGAAAGCAGAGTGGGTAGAACTGCTGATTTGGGGTTCTGTGTGAGAGTTGAAGGCTCTGAACTGACTTGCCAGAAATTGCTCTTTATTTTCAGCTGTTATGAGTGGGAGGAATTTACTTTTCTGAGTCTTCAGGCTAGCACAGGTGTCCTTTTCCCTCAGAGCATCATGTTTTAAGGGTACCCGCGATATTTGTTTTAGTCAGGTATGGTAAGACACATAGACTCAGAAATGGCTGTCTTGAGGGAAGAAGTTTGTTAAACTCACAGATCCCTAGAAACAGGAGGCACAGCAGGTCAGCCAAGAGGCAGAGGTAGGAAGTGTGGGCAAGAAGCTTTATGGTGGTTTCCATGGAAGGAACAGGCGAGGCAGGGTCAACATGTTAGGGATCAGCTCGTCTGGATAATTTCAGTGGGCTCTGGGGTGTTGGGGCTGTTGCTTGGTGGCCGGTACCTGGCCCTGGGGTGATTAGAGCAGCTGGAGAGTGGCCCAGAGTGTGAGAGCTCATAAAGGAGGTGTTTGGGCCCTGGGCTCTGGATTGGTTGGTTTGCATATGAAAGGCTTGCTTGTGGGCACGTTGTTTCCTATCTTTAGGAATGGCTAACCCAGGGAGGGGCAGTCTCTCCAGAGTCAGGAAAGTCCCATGATGCCAAAGCATCAGAATAAAGAAAATAAAAAACACGGCGTTAGTACACAGCAGGACGGCCAAATATCGTTGCACAGGTTGTACATAGCACAAGATATCTGGCCAAGGTGGCAGGTGGGGCTGAAATTCAAATGAAGCCCCGTTCACTAGTCCCATGCTCTCAGGACTGCATCCAGGTGAAGGGGCTGGCTTTTTCTTACACATACAAAGGCACCACGTGGGCTGGCAGAGGCCCATTCTGACACTTGTCTCAGGTTGCTGTTCTATGTCATTTGTGATTATTTGATCAATCTCTGTTTTCCTGCTTGGACCATCAGTTCCAAGGATGCGAGACACTCTTATCTGAAAGAGAGAAAAGAGAGCAGGGATCAGGTCTTCTTTATTCACCATTGTGTCCTCAGGGCTCAGCACAAGCTGACACGTGTTGGTGCTGGTAAGTGTTTACATGATGAATAAATGAATAGTACATAGGACTTCTGACTCCAGAATTGTAGGTTACTTGCACCCTGAACTCTTCTCTTGGCACCAAAAAGATCAAGTTCTGTTCACCTGCCATAGAATTGATAAGGGTGAGTAGCATCCTCTTTGCTGGCAAGAGTTGGACTCCTTTCCCTGCCTCTTTTGGGACCAAAAAGACAGTCAAGAAGGGGAGACTTTTTATTCTCAGTCTGGAGATTCTCTGTCAGCTCCTCCTTATTCTAAATCCTCCAGGGGTTTGTGCCTTCTTGGCCACCGGTGAAGAGTGAGTGACTAGGTATAGGGCACAGAAGGCCATGGCCTTCTGAACCTGCAGGCTGTGGCTGGAGCCCCGGCTCCAACCTCAAGTGGAACCCTGCAGGAAGCCCCAGGGGTGCCAGGCATGGCCATAGGGTGATTGCTGGAGAGAAGCTGGATCCCTGGCTTGCTCTGACAAAAAGAGAAAACAAGAACCTGCTTTCAAAAGAAGCCTTGGTTGTGGGGGCGGGGGTGGGGGAGGGACTGTTGCTGGCTAGTTCACTCAGTAGAGCGTGTGACTCTTGATCTCGGGGTTTAGTTTGAGCCCCATGTAGGGTGTAAAGATTTTTTTTTTTTTTAAGATTGCTTTAAAAAATAAAATCTTAGGGCACCTGGGTGGCTCAGTTGGTTAAGCGTCTGCCTTCGGCTCAGGTCATGATCCCAGGGTCTTGGGATTGAGCCCCACATCGGGCTCCCTGCTCAGCGGGGAGTCTGCTTCTCCCTCTGATCCTCCCCCCTCTTGTGCTCTCTCAAATAAATAAAAATCTTTAAAAAAAATAAAAAATAATAATAAAAAACAAAATCTTAGAAAAAGGAAAAAAAAAAAAAGGAGGCCTTGGGCTTTAGCTCTGTGTTTACACTTCACCGGGGGCCCGCAGCTATGTGCGGGCCGGAGAGGTGTCTGTGCTGCTGGGTCTCGGGGCCGTGTTGCCGAGAACCTAACCTAACGTGTATTTTCTCATCTCTCCCCAGGTTTCCATTCTATTATGAACTAAAAATAGCATTTGTAGCCTGGCTGCTATCTCCCTACACAAAAGGCTCCAGCCTCCTATACAGGAAGTTTGTACATCCCACGCTGTCTTCAAAAGAAAAGGTAATTTATGCTGCTCAGCCTTTCACTCCTTCCAGCAAGTAAAAAATTTAAAAAGCGATCAATAAAAAGGACAGAGTGTTTTATTGTAGGAGACCCTAGAATGTCTCTTATTTGCCTCCAACAATTTGTTCCTTCTAATCTTTTTTTTTAATGTATTTTTCTGACATGTTTAGAAATTGTGGTGAAATCCTCAAAAAGATGTTATGTATCATTACTTGTTGAAAACCATTTCCATAAATTGAAACAAAAGACAACAAAAGATTCACTCATAATTCAACTCCCCAAACTGAATTTCCTTCCTTTCAACATGCTCAGCTCCTGTCCTTTTATAGATAGATTTTTACATGGACTATTAAAAAATACTTTTAAAACATACCATAGGAAAACGGAAGCATAAAGAGATTAAATGACTTGAACTAGTGCCCAGATAGCTACCGATAGACACTGGAAGATAAGAAATGTCTTGTACAGTGTTTGCTTTATTGTTCAGTGATAAATATATGCCTACCAGTGGAATCCCTGCTATTTTGGTAATTATCAGTTGGTAAGTACTAACGAGAGCAGTCATAAAATTTGTTTCATGGCTATTTACCTTTTGTATTTATTTTGCTTCGAACTACTTCACAAACATCTTTGCAAGGAAAATATAGATTTGTCTAATGCCAGAGATGGGAAAAATAAGACAGGGAAAAATTGCAGGAAAGGGTCAGCAATAACTGAGAATTCAAGTAAGAATTACAACTTATATCTCTTGAAAAGAAATTTAATTCAAGCTACTTATAAGATAATGGCACTGTCTGTAAAATGATTTTTTGCTTAACATCTCTGCTGAACTTAATTTGCTGGATTTGCTTTCACTGGATTGTTCTTTTACCTCTGTCTTACTAGTTTGCTTTGATAACTTTGTTTTTTATGCATAAGTCTATAAATCTTTCTTAAAATAAAATTCTAAGTGTACCAAAAAACCCCCAAATACCAAAAAACGATAGAAACACTTAATATAGGTACAATATTTAAATTCTGAGATCTTAAGTTTGTTTGCACATAACCCATTTGTACTTGATCTTCATAAAGATTCATGAACACCACAGTACATAGAGATAAATTTCTTCTTTTGACTTATTAGAATAAGTTGCCAAGAGCAGGATTATTGGGTCCAATATTGTATAATTCATTAATTATATTACATGATCTTCTAAACTGGGATATGATTTTTAACATAAAATAGGAGCACTGTAGATGGCTTTATATATAAATTTCTATTGTTTCTGAAAGCTAAGTACTTTGGACTTCTTGGGGGAGGTTTTAGGGGAACATATTAATTGGATGAGCAGACTACTATAGACATTTCTGAGAACCCTTTTAGGAACTAGGATACAGCACTGCCTATCTCAGAAGGGTGGGTTTTGAGGAATGGGATCTCTCTCTTGACCTGGTTGTCAAATCCCTACTCTTGGCACTTCCCTTTCCCCAGATGCTGGGCTTACCCTGAAGCCACCAATGTCATTTCCATTGAAGTGAAGGTGACTGACTCTTAGAAGCTGCCAAGAATCCCTACCAGAGTCAGTCAAGGGTCACAATGAAAACTTAGTGTGGTGACTTCCTGGGGAAGTCTTAAACAAGGAATGCACAGGGGTTGACTGTCGCACTTGATACCTCAAAGCAAAGGAAATGCACTGATGTACTGAACTTCAAATGAGATCAAGGCCAAGTGTCATTGTATTACTGAACTCTGAAATGAGCTATCGTGATGTACAAAACAGCTGTTCTTAAAACAGTGACAACAAAGCAACCCAACCCAAACAAACAAAAAGAATAAGCCAGAGTTGATGCAAATTTGAAGTAAACCACTGTTTTGGTCCCTGAAGGAAAGAGACTTCAATCCTCTTTCCAACCTCCCCCTGACCCTGGGGATATTGTTGGATGACTTCTCATTTCTGCTTTTATTTCATTATCTGTAAAATGATCTCCCTTATCAACAAAAATGGCACTATCTCTTTCTGTGTCCTCATCTCTCCCCTTGATACCTACGTGGGAGGGATTTGGATATAGTATGAAATAGCTACAGAATAGTAGAATTTCAGAGCTGCCAGGGCCTGACCCCCCTTGAGATAGGAAGATGACAGTGGTTCTCACTTATTGAAACCAGCCACTGTGTTAGATGCTTTTCTGGAATGGTCTCAGGTAATCCTCACTGGGCTCCATGAATTAGGTACTGTCACTGTCCTCATTTTTCAGAAGGTCTAACACTTGCCAAGGCCTGACAGCCAGTTAGTGGCAGGTCTGAGGTTAGATGCTGGATTCTTGGTATTCTCTCCACCTTCAGTTCCTTCAGTGTCTTAGAGGGTGGCTATGTGTAGAATGGCAGGATCGTCCACATCCAGGACCCCTGGCGCCTTCCTGGAAGGTTAGAGGACTTTAGGAACAATCCTAGGGTATTGCTCGAAGAAAACCTTCCTGGATCAGTAAGTTGCTGTTTTTTTGAAATTCCTCTTTCACTTCCCTGCATCTCTTCCGTTTCCCTCCCTCCTCCTGTCTACCCTCCCTGCAAACACACACCCCAAAGTGCCTATGACTTTTCAGTCCCAGCGAGAATCCATGATTGGGCAAGCTGCCAAGCCCAGTGCTCAGAAGGGAGGAAAGAACAGAGCTTTATTTGAACCTTCCAACTCAGTGTGCCTGTGTTTATCCTTCAACAGGAAATTGATGATTGCCTGGTCCAAGCAAAAGACCGAAGTTACGATGCCCTTGTGCACTTTGGGAAGCGGGGCTTGAATGTGGCAGCCACGGCAGCAGTGATGGCCGCTTCCAAGGTACTGTGTGTGTGTGTGTGTGTGTGTGTGTGTGTGTGTGTGTGTGTGTGCACGTGCACGCATGCGTGCGGGGGGGGGGGGGGGTGTAGCCTGAGTACCACAGCCGCGTGAGCACCACCACCCCTGCAACCCGCCCTCCCACCCTGCTCATCACCCATGCAACTTGCATAGGACAGGCTCAGGACCAATCAGTGGTTCCTCATCTTTTGGGGGTCCCTTTGAAAATCTGATGGAAAAATTGGTGAATCTTACCCCCAGAAAATTGTGCACACACACACACGTGCACACACACACATACGTGCTCACACACACAAATGATGTGTGCAATATTAAGAGGTTCCCAGAGCTCCTGAAACTCATGATGGGTCCCAGATTAAGACCTCTGAATTACTTGGAGCTTAAGCCTGGGGGAAAGAGGAAACGAAAAGGGAGGGAGTGAGCTCTTCTCTGCAGTTTCCCAGGGTCACTGGGAGAGACCACTAAACTCAAAATATAGCCAGGTGGGGAGATGACCTGAGTGAGTGGGTGGCTCTGCGCACACGTGGCCCAGCCGACCCAGGGGGAGGAACCCTGGGTCCCAGAGGAGGTGAGCGGTTTGGACATGGAGGAGGAGGGTGTGTGTAGTAGCAGCAAGGAGAGCTGGAAGAGGTTTGAAGTAAACACTGGTTGCGTGGGACATCGGGATGTAGACCTCACTTCCTTCTCTTTCCATCCAGCCCCCTTCATGTCCTCTGTGGTCCTTCCTAGCTTCCTCTAACATCACCTGCTCCTTGTCGTTGTGCCAGTTTCTCATTGTGGGCTCAGCCCTGAAAAATTACATTGGTAGACACTTCCCCAGAGTAAATCCAGCAGATTCCCTTGTGTTTCCTGTTGACAGTCTTTACCCCCAGTCCAGATGTGGAGGAGGGGGTCTACTTTCAGCTGGGGGTGGAGGAGAGGCAGTTATACTAATGTTTGGCAAGACACACTGGCTGGGAGGTGAGTTGTATGAGCGAAGGGAAGCTGAGCTGTATGAACTAGGTGGTGACTGCGGGTTTTAGGCAAGTGGGGGCAGAGTTGTGAGAGGTTTGGAAGAGGATGTTTGATACCGACCTTGGTGCTCCATGGGCTCTGAGTGGATGGTTGGATGGAGCGTGTCGACAGGCAGCTGGGTCAGGGGACCGAGCCTGGTTTTCTGTGCCCTGAACCAAGAGAAGCACATTAGGAGCATTTCTGGAAGAAAGACTTACCCCTTGGGGCTGAGCGTTTGTTTGAAAAGTACCATCCACCTGAAGTCAAGGAGTTCTGCAGACGAAGGCTGAGAGAGAGAGAAGGAAACCCAAAGGGAATGATTCCTATTCGGAGAAGGACCAGCTCCTTCTATAACACAGAACTGTAGTGAGGTGTCCGCCCTCCAATAGCTGCTGGCAAGGTGATGGATCCCAGTGAGTATCTTTGGAGGGGACGTTCCGTTTTGGTATCCCAAGGAGATGTATCAGGATTTACAAAGAGCAGTGAATGCCAAGCTCCTTCTGTTTGAGATGTAACCATTTTGTGCTTTTATTTTTAAGCTGAAAGATAAGAGAACTCAGAATTGCTAAATTCTTAATTCATCAGGCCAACTTTGCAACACAAAGCTACAGAAACCTTCTCTCAGCCTGTCTCTCTACCCCATCTCTTCTGCTTCTGAAGCCTGAAGGAAAATGGGTTACTGCTCTTTGCTCCGCTCAGTCACAGAGCGTAAATGTGATGTATTTATCAGGGTGGCTCAGTATGGGTCTCCCGGCCATTCAGCAGCGTGTGTGTAAATTTTATTCTGATGGTAATTCTGTAGGGCCATCCTTTTCCAGGTCTGCCTCAAGCTGGAGCCTCCAGAGTCTTGAGACCATCTTGGCCAACCACTGCCAGCCCCTCAGACCACCCGGGGAAGCCCGTGAGCCCAGGCCTCTGGCCAGGCACCTTACAACAACTAAACACGGAAGAAGCTCCAGACAGTCTGAAACTTGCCTCAGGAAATAACTGCTCATTAGTTCTTTCTAGTTGTGCTACAGTAGTGAGGGATGCCCGCTTCCTGTTGAATTTGGTTTCAAATGGGAAAGTTTTCTGCCTTTTGGGGGCTTTGCTTTTCCTCTCTAAACATAAATATATTGAGAGAGAAAACACATCTTCTCTTCCAAAAATAATGCCCTCTATTTTTGAAACTGATGTGTACTTAAAAAGAAGTAAATCCAATCTGGCTGAGGGGTAAATCCGTGGTTTCCAGAGCAACAACGGATCACTCCAGGCAGGGGTCAAAGGATGGTGACTCACCAGTGAGTCCAAATCTGGCTTTCATGTCCAAACCACCTGGGAAGCTTTGTTTTCATTTTTTAATAGATTCTCCGATGTGCTGATTCAGAATCTCAGGCAGTAGGCCCAATCTCTATTTTTAACAAGTTCCCCAGATAATTTTTAAACAGCCAGCTCTGTACAGGTCACTGCCTGAGGCCCCTTCCAGAACCAGAAGCGCACAGGTGATTAGGGTTAGAGCACTTCATTTGAACATTCCTGGGATGCAGAATTAGCTTCTTAGACGTGTTAACGTTGAAAATGAGAAAGTGAGGTGTGTGTGTTTCATTTCCTTAAAACTTCATGCCAGTTGGGAAATATTATGGTGGGAAGACAAATTCTTCTCCCTCTTTGTAATGCTCCAAAGAGCCTAGCACAGTGCACTGCACCCAGCTGAGCCCTGAACAACCTTGGGATTCCCCTGGGGGGATAGAGCAATTTTGGGGGGGGGGAAAGACAGCCTGCCAAGTCACCCATGACTAGGGTGACCATATACGTTAATGTCCAAACCAGGTCACATCTGAGAGGGAAAGAGGTGCTGGAATAATTACACCAGGAATAGGTATACATGAGGCCTGTCCCAAGCAAACCGGGACTTAGGGTCACCCTACTCATGGCTCCATTTAACAACTCTTGGGCCCTGCCTGTGTCCTCCTGGAAAACACCCTCAACTCACAGATCCGTTCTCACTCTAAATATCTACTGCATTTGGCCAAATGGACACACAAGAGAGTGTGAGGTAACTAAAAGACTGTCTCTTACTTCAGACAGATTAAGGGTCAGGTGCCTGGATGAGGGCTCACTCCTCCCCTGTCTTCTGCTCTTTTTTCCATCCTTTGAAGGCTCCTCCCCAGAGGGGAAGTATGGAACTTCAAAGATCTTTTAGATGCTTTTGTTTATTTCCTTTTTTTTTAATTGAAGTATAATTGACATGTAAGATTACATTAGTTTCAGGTGTACAACATAATGTGGACACAATTTGAGTTAATCCCCTTTTTTTCTTGTAATGTTGAGCCCTGTCCCTCAAAAAAAAAAAAAAAGAATGCATGGTTTTTTCATCATCAGGAAGAGTGAAGAAACTTTGTACACCATATTGTACCAGTGTAAGCTATTATTAATGTTAACATATTTTATCTTAGAACTGGAAGAACAGAAACAACACAATTACACATGGGAAAGTCCTCCCCAGGCCCACTAACCCCCTCCCACTCCTAGTTTCCCCCAGGGTCTCATCCCTCTCTCTGGAAGCATGGATACATCTTTTCTTTCTATGAAAACTGCTCTCTCTCCTCCCTGAGGACACCCTTCTGAGGGACCATCTGTCTAAACGTCCCTTGTCTCTGAGTTGGCTCTGCGCCTAGATGTGGGGTGTTTCCTAGCTGGTAATTCCAGCCAGAGGGAAAATTGAGCCCCACATTTTTTTTTTAAGACTAGAACTAGAAATCTCTCTCTCTCCTTAAAAATAATACTCTAGAACCGGTGGAAACACAACCTCACACACAAGAGAAACCATAGTAAGAAAAACCAATTGATCAAAAGTTGGAAAATGGTGAGGCGTCCAAGGCCACCCTATGGTTCTTGAACTTGGAAGCACATGATAGGTTTCTTCTACCTGCCCGGTTCTTAGACCTGGTAAACCAACCTCGCTTTTTATTTGTCTCATAACTTGAAAAATAATGTGGTTTTACTCCCCCTAGAGATCCTATCCCTAGAACAGTTCCACTGGTACCCATACCATTGGTAAAGTCACCTGGTTAAAACACTGCTCCGGGTAGTGCTGACATTCTGTGGATTCGGGATTCTTCTGCCCCAGATTGTGTGTGGGCTTTTCTCCCTAGAATCTAGTATTTCCTATTATATTGTTAGCTTCTGGAGATGAGGGGCTCTAGATTCTTTTCCTTTGTTTCTTGCTTAGGAAAAAAAAAACACACACACACAAAAAGCAGAATAAAGATCCAAACAGTGCCTACTTGTTTAGTGTTCTGCGCGCATAGCTACTCATCAAGCCTTGCTGATTGATCTGAAGAATAAACTTTTTTGATTCTCTAGTCCTGCTCTACACAAGCAGCTCTTTACATCTGAATTAATTAGAAGCAAGTGCATTTAAAATGCAGTTCCTCAGTCATGCTAGTCGCATTCCTAGTCCTCGGCGGCCACGGTAGCAGGTGGCTGGCACGGACACAGAACGTTTCTGATGTCACAGAACGTTCTCTTGGGCAGCACTGCCCCAAGCCATCTCTGAAACCTCTTGGGTTCTCTTTGCCTTATTTTCACCCCTCTACCTGCAGTGCCCTGGCTTTGACAGGACCCCTCCCTTACCCACTCAGCAGTGCGGGGCCTCTGTATATGAGGTTCACCAGCAAAAGAGGGAGATGGAAACTCAGCTTATAACATCACCCATGGTGTCACTCTCATTTCTGCAACGTCTTCCCTGGCCCAGCCCCACTTTCACACCATGACTCCGTTTCCCCAATTTGCCAGCATGGTCGGCAGCCACTGGGGGATGCCAGGTCTTGGTTACAGCCCTAGCATCTGAACAGCTGCGCACAAGCCACAGGAAGACAAATTGTAGTGTTTTCCCACTCACTTTTTAAATTCCCACTCAATTTTGCCTTAAAAATAAAACTCTACGAAACAGTTCAGCATAGTTTTTTTTTTTTTCTAAAGTCCTCTCTCTATTATCCTTCCCTTTT